ATGAAGCTGTCATAAATATACTTATATATAATCTATATTTTTACATTGCTCAGAAAATATAAAAATTGTTTCCTCAGAAAAATATATTCCTGTATGAAATTATTGGGTCAAAAACATAAATCTTATTAACACTGCTAGTATATTTATGCCAAATTGCTTTATAGAAAATTTTGTTATATAGCTATTGAAAAGAGAAATCATTAATTTCACTATACAACGTGAGACATAAAAGCGAGCTCCTGGATTTTTACAGAGTTACTTAATAACACCGTTTACATAATGTATTTCTTGCTTGCTAATTCTGTTTACTGTGAATAAATTTTTATCCATATTTTAGCCAGTCCAGAAATATGATTAACAGTAGTTATCATCAGTTTATGTTTCTTTTTCAGGAATGCCTAGAACTTACATTCCCTTATACTATCCATATTACAGTATGCAAAACAGCATTCATATTTCTGTAGGCAAATACAAAAATATTTAACTGGGTTATGGTAAATTGGAAGAATCCAGCATTCTCTTAATGTGTTTTACTGAAATCTTTTATTCACAAAGAACATCATGCTCAATGTTCCATAGTGAGGTATAGAATCTACCATCTGATGAACATCAGTATGAGGGATTAAATTCTGCCAAAGAGCGATTTTAGACATGATTGAAACACAGCTACATATTCTTCATTTCAAGATTTGCCTTAACCAAAATGAAATTCTTTATATATAAATACATGGTAGTTTATACAGATATCTCTGATTCATACCCATCACAAGTTCATTGTAGCTTCTCCTCTCTTTGCCCCCTTGCCTTTTTGTAACATCTTTGTCTGACATTGAGAAACCTGTTATTCATCACCTTTGTTTTTACAAGATATTTTCACCAGGTGTACAATTTTAGGCTGAGAATTTTAATCTTTCAGTACACCTAAAAATGATGCTCAGTTGTCTTCTTGCTGGCATTGTTTCTCAAGAAGAATCTGCTGTCTTTCTAGTCTTTGTTCCTCTGCATTTACTGTACTTTCCCCCATCTGTTTACTTGTAAGACAGTCTCTTTGTCACCAGTTCTGAGCAATTCAGTTTTGACGTTAGTTAGTGTAATTTTCTTCATGTCTCTTTTTTGGGGCATTTGGATTTGGGGCATGTTGAACTTCTTGGACCTGTAGGTTTGTTTCGTCAAATTTGGGAGTTTTTTTACCCATTATTTCTTCAAAAGCTTATGTCTTCTTTTCTCCTTTCTTTTGAGGACTCTGATTACCTATACATTAGGCCACTTGAATTGTCTTAACAGGTCATTCATGTTCTTTCAACTTTTTAGGTTGGTTCTTCTTTCTCTTTGTTTCATTTTGCATAGTTTCTATTCCTATGTCTTGAAATTTACGCATCTTTTTTTTCTGTCATGTCTCACTATCCACTAATTCCATCCTGTGTATTTTTTTTAATCTTAGATATCATAGTTTTCACCTGAAAGGTTGATGGGGATTGTGTTTTGAATGATTTTGTTTTTTAGTATTTTCCATGCCTGGACTTAACTTTTTGAACATACAGAAATACAGTCATGGGAACTGATGTCCTTCCTCATGTGGTAGCACAAAGTCTGTGTCATTCCTGGGTCAGTTTTCATTGGTTGATTATTTTCCTTGTTATGTATGGATTGTATTTTCCTGCTTTTTTGTGTGTCTTGTAATCTTTACATGCCAGATATTGTGATTTTTGCCTTGTTGGTGCTAGGTATTATTTTGATTCTTGTAAGGATTCTAGGTCTTTGTTCTGGAATGAAGTTTTTACTTGAAAATATTTTAATCCTTTTGAGTTTTACTTTATATGATTTCTTTAACCAGTCTAGAACTATGTCCTATCTAGGGCTCATTATTTCCCACTATAGAAGCAAGATGCTTCTCAACTTTCTACACAGTGCCTCATGAATTATGAGTTTTTCCAGACTGGCTGGGGAGAACAATCACTATTTCTGGTCTCAGTTATTTTCCTCACAGACATGTACTGAATGTTCAAGGGGGACCTCCTGCAGATCTCTGGAGTTCCTTCTGTAGCTTCCTCCTCCTTACTCACTACTATTATATACAAACTCTAGCTGCTTTGGTTTCCACAGATTCTTTGCTGCATCTCCTCAGTGCAGGAAGTTGGTTGAGCTCTACCTGGTTTCTTCCTCCCTGTGTCTCAACCTGGAAACATTTTCAAAGCAGTAGGCAGCAAAATTACTCGGTCCAACTTGTTTATTTTCCATCTCTTGGGGACCACTGTCCTTTGTTGTCCAAGATCCAGGGTCTCAAAAACCACTATGTCATATATTTTGTTTATTTTTTGTTGGTTTCTTTCTTTTTTAGTTTCAGGGAAGAGGGTACAGCCAATCCTTATTATTCCATCATTGCCAGAAGCAGAAGCCTCAGGTTCTATCTTCTGTTTCCTCTGTGTGGAATGTCCTACGCCAGATATCCGTGTTGTTAACTCCCTTACCACCTCTATCTGTTAACAGTTTTTTATTAGATCCTGGGCATTGTGAATGTTCTGTTGTGTCTCTGGGTTTTGTTGTCTTCCGTTAAAGGAGTGATGAGTTTTATTTTAGCAGCCATTGCATTATTTGGTATCAACATAATCCTTTTGAAGCCTATTTTTAAGTTTTGACAGGACAAGTTTGTAGTAGTTTTTACTCTAGGGCTACTTTGGCCCTACTACTTAAGGCATGACTCTTTGGAATACAACAGATGTTCAGCCAGGTCTGTTCACTCTGACTGCTTAAAAATTATAAAGACTGCTAGCCTTCTGCAGTGAGTCCCTCTCATATACAGTTTAGCATTTAGGCCAACTCAAGACAACCCTAGGTAAAATTACCTGGAGTTCTTTCCTTGCATAGTTCCCTTTTCTGCCGTACACTGCCCTGCAAATTGCAGTCTCTTCACCCTCCTCAGACTCTTAATTGCTATTTCCTCAGCTCAGTGAGACTACTGTTCCTACTTCCTGTGTCACAGCCCAGAAGGTTCCCCTGGTCTGAAAGCTAGAGAGATCACAGAAATCACCCTTCTCTCACGCATCACAGTCCTTCACTACCTATTTCTGAAAACAGTTGTCTCATATATTTCTTCTAGTTTTTCAGCAGAAGTCAAGGCCAATGCCAGTTGCTCCATTCTGACCAGAAGCAGACATCTTCAGAATGATATTTTTAATACACAAATTAGGTCATCTCACTCCTGCTCAAAACTTCACTGTCTCCTCATTTCGTCAGAGAAGCAGCCAACATTCTTAGAGTAGCTTGTAAGACTCTACATGCTCTGGCTCCCCTACTACCCTTCTTTCCTCCTATTCTTCTCCTCCCCCAGCTTTTTCCAATCCAGCAATACTGAGCTTCATGTTGCTTCTGGACCCACTGAGCATACTTTACCTTAGGTCCTTTGTTGGTCTGTTTCTTTTGCTTGGTCAGCACTTTCCCTGGACAGCCATGAATAGCCATCTGGCTACTCCCTCACTTCTCTCAAGCCTTTCAACTTCTGAGGAACCATCCTATTTAAAATTACTGCCACCTCTTCACTGTCTCCCCCACTTCCCTGTTTTCTTTCTACTGCTCTAATTTTTCTTTTTTCCTTAGCATTTATCCTTCCAGACATACTACTTTTTATTTGTCATGTTCATTGTTTAATGGCCCCCTTTAGAACTCAGGCTCCACAAAGGCAGAGATCATTGTCTGTTTTGTCCCCTCTTACATGGTATACCCGCAGTACCTAATATTTTATTACTTCGTTGGATGGTTAACAAATTGAGCATTGAACATATGACTATTAGTATACTGCTTTCTTCTAAAAAAAATGCTTAAGCTTAAAGATTATAACCAGCAGAGCTAAATTTTCCTGCCTTCATCAATTATTGCCCATGATTAATTAAAATACTGCATCCATATTCCAAATTTGTATGTCTTATATTTCTAGTAGACCTTACTATAGTCAGAATTTTTATATTCTGATTATTAATGATCAAGGTCTGCCTTGAACCAACCAAGATTTTTCTTTCATAGTGAAGTTATAACAGTGTTAAGTTTTTTCTTCTTGTGGTAAAATACTTGTAACACAGTATAGAAGTCTCAGCTATATTTTAGTAGAAATAGCCTAATTTAGGCAAAAGTGGGAATGTTTTGGATCTTAGAATTCCAAGAAAGGCTTGAATAACCAAACAATGAAGCGGAGGAATATAGACAGTAGTAGGCTGGAATCACTTGTGTTGGTTCATAAGAGCTGATCATGCATATCTTTTCCCAATCCCATGTTCAGTAATCTTGTGTTGGTAGCTTGAAATTGACCATAGTGTGATTGTTTCCACCAAAAGTCAGCAAACACTGCAGATCAAGGCTCCTCACTGCCCCCTTCTCCTCCCACCAGCCCTACATAGCCACTTGCTAACGCTATTTCCACACCTCTGGGTTTGAGCAGACATCAGGAACAACTGCTACAGGGGTTCCGGTGCCTCTAGAGTCCATTAGAAACCTGAATTCTGCCTCTAGAGGTTGACTTCTTTAGGGGAAGACTGGCTTTCTCTCTGTGGTAGGAGTTGTCCCATATTTCTCAGGTTTCACATACTATCACATCCTCTGACACCACAGAAAAACTCACTTTCTGTGTTGCAATTTGAAAAGCCAGGGAAGGTCTCTGGTTAGATGCCCACCTCTGGACAGTCAGTTCAAGGGGAAGGATGGGCATTTGGAAGAGGTCCTGGGAAATGGGGTTGTGCAAGAATCTGCATATTCCAAAGTAGCCATGTGCATAGGGATTAGTTTCTAGAAAAGGAGAAGGATAGAGCAGCAAGCAGTTCTATGATGTATAGTATATGTTACAATATAAAATTCAGCTAAGTTGGAATGCACAGTAGTGCTAAATACAGCCTGTATATTTGGAGTTATTTTAAATACAGTTGAGAAATCATAGTTTTTGTAATATTTTACATAAAATACTTATTTATTAATGTCTTAACTTGAGTCCTACTTAAATGTGCTTTTTTGTTTAGGGTTTGAGCTACAGTTCCGACTAGGCCCAACTTTACAGGGAAAAGCAGTTACTGTGTATACAAATTACCCACTTCCTGGAGAAACATTTAATCGAGAAAAATTCCATTCCCTGGAATGGGAAAATCCAGTAGAAAAAGAAGATGATTCTGATAAATACTGTAAACTTAATCTTCAACAAGCTGGATCATTTCAATATTACTTCCTTCAAGGGTAAGTCAGGGGTTCTGTGTGTGAAAAAGAAGTTAATTTATTCTGTAACTTGAAGTTAACTAATTTTTAAAAAGTTACTATATGAACTATGGCAGTACAATTTTTGCAGGACTTTCTTGAGATGAAAATAGAATATGGATCTTCAATTTCTAGGAAGTAATTATAGGGTTCATCTCAGATTGGAAGTATTACTATCTTTTTTTAAGTAACAGTTTAAACAATCTAGTTTTTTTCATGCAACCTGATTGCATGAGAATCAGGTAATGTCAGCTCTCTTTCTTTTTTTTTTTAATAAATGTAATTATCTTCTGTGATACAGATTTCAAAGGCTTTTATTCTCCCAAGAAAAATGGCATAGGATGCTCTTTTCTTGAGTCCCTTTGTTATTACTGAGAGATTTTAATACACTTATTTTTCTTTAAAGCAGTACCATCAGGTTTTAGATATGTTACATTATGTTATTATGGAGAGGTCAGAAAAGGATAAAGTATAACTTTTCCATTGAGTTTTATTGCAACTTTTTAAATAAGTTTATGTGCTTAGAAATATATTTTTAAATAGAACATTTTGCATTCTCGTTAGAGTCAGACTACCGGATGAGGATATTTTTCCCTGTCATTAATTGAGAAGTTTTTGTTTTGTTTTTTCCTTAGAAATGAGAAAAGTGGTGGGGGTTACATAGTTGTGGATCCTATTTTACATGTTGGTGCTGACGACCACGTGTTACCCCTGGACTGTGTTACTCTTCAGACATTTTTAGCTAAGTGTTTGGGACCCTTTGATGAATGGGAGAGCAGACTTAGAGTTGCAAAAGAATCAGGTAATGTCAGCTCTCTTTCTTTTTTTTTTAAATAAATGTAATTATCTTCTGTGATACAGATTTCAAAGGCTTTGGTTCTCCCAAGAAAAATGGCAAATGGTTCAACTTAACACACGAAGGAACTCTGTGATAAAATGAGGTTATTTTTTCTAAGACTTTACTTTGACATAAAAATGAGTAATACAATTAAAATGCATTGAAAATGTATTATCATTATACAAAAGTTTAATTCAATAAACATCAATCAACTGTCTTTCAAGTGGAAGGCTTGTGCTGCCATAATACCAAGAATAAAATGAAACCAGTTATATTTTCCTCTTAAGGCTAATGTTAATTTCCTACTTTCAAGTTTGAGTATAGTGTGAAGAAAGAAATGAGTTCACTGGCATAGCTAAAATAGAATACAAGTATTGTGGAACATTAAAAGTAGGAGAAAGATATGCTGGTATACTTGCATGGGATGTATTTTCTACATATAAATTTATCTATTCAACAAATATAAGTTGAACTAACAGTAACTAGGCACTGTGTATGGCTTAATTCAAATACATTATCTCATCACCCCAGTGTTGTATATGAGGATGCTGACAAAGGTTTAAGTAGACCTACTTGAAGTCATTTGTGGCATAGTTAGAATTTGAACTGTAGTCTTCACTCTTCTCTAGAAGCATGATTGCCTTGCTATTTAGAATTACTTAAGGAAGTTTACATTTATTTGGCTTAGTTTTATGTGTTTTTTTTCCCTACATTTGTCTTTGTTTCTTTTCTTATATTACAGGTTACAACATGATTCATTTTACACCCTTGCAGACCCTTGGACTATCTAGGTCATGCTATTCCCTTGCTGACCAGTTAGAATTAAATCCTGACTTTTCAAGACCTAATAAAAACTATACCTGGAATGATGTTGGACAGCTTGTGGAAAAATTTAAAAAGAAATGGAATATTCTTTGTATTACTGATGTTGTCTACAATCATACTGGTATGAGCTGCATTAACTACCTCTGTGGATTTTGATGAGAATAGTATATTCTTATTGTTTTATTTCTTGTTGTCTTATATAAATTCTGAAAACCCAAATGATGCTTAGGTGTCTATCAATTAAAAAATCACTTTACATAGTACCACTTTTTTCCTTTTGAAGAAATCAGTGTTGAGGATATAATCAGTATTAGTATTTTTCATGTATTAATTATAAAAACAGCAGAGTGACCCTAAAAGGAACATACTAATCACTTTTTAACTTACAATATTAATACTTTCCAGACCAACTAATGAGTACTATATAGCAGCAGCTGTGGTACCATAGCTTATATTTTTAAAAACTGAAGGACTATTATTTAAAGAGACAATCATTAGTAAACTCTTAGAAGTTAAATCTGAAAATTATATCCTTTACATGTTAAAAGAGCTTATTGAAATTAACCTGTTTTGGGTCCCAAGATTCCTTAGCAATAAAAAATTCTGTAAAATATATCAGAGCTTCCCAACTGAAGAAAGATCCTCAGGGACATGTCCCCCTTTTAGAGCAGCTGGGCCTAGAGAAATCTCTGGCCATGATCAGCTTGCAGGGTAACCCAATGTAACTTGCAAATATTATCTTCTACGTGTGCCACAATGCAAAAGAGTCTGGAAACCACTGATTTACATATATAAACAACAGAAATTCTGTGTGGTACAGAACATCTAGCAATTTAAAAACATATCTGTTGTGTCATAAAGTCATTTTCCAAATAACCATATGAACTATGAAGATATTCATTTAAAAGGTCAAACATTTGGTTCACCAATATAGGTAATATAATAATAGCAAACCATCAAAGTTAAGTAAAGAAATTGGTGTTTCTATGTGCACCTGGAAACTAAGCATCAAAGTCTATGGTGAAAACTTCCTAATATCCATAACTCAGTATTCTTCACTTGAAAATTGGGCATTCTTGATAATTTTTGAACATCTATAGTATTTTCACATCAAACTTATCAAACCATACAATGGCATTGTATGAGGTAGGATATTGCTTAGGCAGCTATAACAGAGAGACAGAAAAATAAAGACAAAAGACTGAAATTTTAATTCTTAATAAAGGTTAGGTAGGCATTCCATGACTGGTATGTAGCTCTCTGGTGATAGGGAACTAGGTTCCTTGTCTCATGCTGTTTTATTGTCTCTAGCACTTGGCTTATAATTCTTAATCAAATATGGTCACTCTGTTCCCAGTGACACCTTTTACCCAGTAGAAATGAGGAAAGGGAAGTCATTCTTTCCAAGGGCATAATCTGGTGTGTGCATATGTATCACTTCTGCTTACAGTGCATCAGATAGGATTTTGTCTCTTGTCACAGCTAGCTATAGAGATGGTTTGCAGTGTAGTCTTTTCTTTGTTAGCTATGTATACAGCTGAACTTTGGGAGGTCTGTCACTAAAAAAACAAAGGGAGAATAAAATGGGGAGTATAACAGCAGTCTGTCAGAGATTATATTTCTGAAGCATTTGAGATTCTGTGCAGTATTAAAAAAGTGAAATTTGCTTTAGCCTTACTTAGAAAGTGTTACAAATCATAATGTCCTTTCAGTGAAACAGGTTTTCATTAAAAAGTACTATCCAGGGGAAGTCAACTTCCAGATTTGCAGAGTGAGGACTTCACAGATCCTTCACCTAGCAAAACAATTACAACTGGTGAAAATTATTTTTTTAATGATTTAAAGTCTCTGGAAATAGTCCTAAGGGCAGTTAGCATATGGAGAAGCATTTATTCAAGAAAATCTACTAAATCTCAGTAAGAACAGTGATAATCTGACATTTGAACAACAGCCTGATCCTCCCTCTTCACCCTGCCCCATCTTGAAGTGAGGGTAGGTGTATTCCTGGCAGGTGCAGCCAGGAACACAAAGCTTCTTCTCTCCCCTGCTCCCAGTGTAAGGCTATAGTTGAAAGGAGCAGGCTTCTAACATTTCTCACCTAAGTCCCCCACTCACCCCAGTGTTGTGTTGCAGAAATTCTATTCTAGGCAAGAACAACTGAAAGGTATGGGGCTCTCTTCCTCTACCCAGTTCCCATTAGAGAGAAAGCTCTACCCAATACATGACAGGTCAAGAATACTGAGACCAAGTTGCCCTTGCCCCAGCTTGCTTGTGGGATGGAGGTTCCACACTTGGAGAGGTAAGCTAAGAAAACCATCCCTGTCATCAGTTGTGGAGCAGAGATACAACTGTTCTGCCCAGGAGAAGAGATGTACAGGAAAAACAGAGTAAGAATGCAATTGATTTTATTTGGTACATAGTGTGGGAAAGTTCCAGCCTGTGGACACTGTTGAAATTAAGAGGCTGGTATCTGCATGAGAACAACATGCTAAACCATAGGCTAGAGAGAACCAAGGAAAAATACACCTAGGATGAGTCCTCCTGGCGTTAGATAAGTCTCAAAGACTAGCCCCGCCAAGGGGCCCAAATTTAATTGGATCAGATTGTGAAACAGTTGTGTTCCAGCATACTATCAAGAAAAATAGCTCACTGAGCCTGTATTAATGGAAAATAACAGCTCAGTGTGATACCAACAGAGGCAGGCATCTTAACAACAGAGTTCAGGGAAAGAGGTAAGAGAATTGTGCTAAAAACCACTGTCATGCCAGGCTGACATCCCATAGTCAAGGCTGCACTCTCTGAATAGGAACTTCAGAGGCTGCACATTGTGGGAGAAACAGACTCCACTGAAATAGTTCAGACAAACAAATAACCAGTAAAACCTGGAGGGGATGAGATCAGTATCCAAGTTACTACAATACATTATCTAAATGGCCCAATTTTCAACAAAAAAAATCACAAAGAAACAGCAAAGTGTGACATACGCAAGGAAAAAAGCAGGCAACAGAAATCACCTTTGAGAAGTCTTAGATGTCATTCTTAGCCAAAATAACTATTAAAAATGTATTCAAATAACTAAAAGAAACTAGCTTAAAACTGTAAAAGGTGTGATATCTCATCAAATTGAGAATACCAGAAAATAGAATTTTTTTGAAAGAATCAAATAGGAATTCTAGAATTAAAAAGTAAATAACCAAAATAAATTCACTGTGTATTTGAGATGACAGAAGAAAGGATCACTGAATAGAGATTATACAGTAAATGATACAATGAATAGAGAGAAAAAAGATAAAATGAACAGCGCTTCAGTGAAATTTGGGACAACTTTAAGCACAGCAGTGTAGCATCATGGAAATAACAGAAGAAGAAGAAAAAAGAACTGAAGAATTACTAGAAAAAATAATAGCTGAATACTTCCCAACCTTCAGAATTTGATTTTTTTAAAAATCTATACATCCTAAAGCTCAGTGAACTCTGAGTAGCATAAACACAAAGAGAGCCACTCAGGCACAACATAGTAAATATTTTGAAAGCCAAACAACTTAGGGAGCCTTGAAAGTAATACTGTATATCTTGAAAGGCAGAGATTGGCAGTCAAAAAATAAGATCCAACTATATGCTATCTATAGGCAAGACACTTTAGATTCAAAGATATAAATAGGTGGAAAGTAAAAGCATGGAAAAAGATAAAGCAAGGACTGGTAGCTTAGAGGTTCTCTTTTCAGTTGCTCCTGAAATGGCACAGCCCTGGGCATATACATGGTCTTTCAGACAGGCAGAAGTGAGTGTGATTTTATTGTTAAGCCTGGCTTTTTATTATTATGGGTATAAGTAATAAATGATACAATGAATGAAACTAAAGTAATAGTTCTTTTAAATCTGGGTAAGAACTGTAATGATACTCAGCTTAGTAAATGAAGCAAGAAGACATTTCAGTAGCAGAACAAAATGTTAGATCACAGATTCTGAAAAAACTTTCCCAAGATCATTCCTGCTTTATGGCTTTGGCTGAATTACTTATCTTTCTGTATCTCAGTTCCTCATCTGTTAAAGGAACATGAAATTATGTCCTATGTCATGGTGGGGCATGAGGATTAATAAATTAGTGCATTAACTTCTTAGAACAGTTCCTGGCATATGGTAGGTATTCTGTAATTGTTATTTTTATTTCATATACATTAACCATTTATGCTCCTTAGTATGAATTCAGGGGGCATTAATATATTTTAAAATGAAACAAAATATGTATACCTTTTATTTATTAAAAAATGAAAGCATTAATTTAATGTTGTAAATACTTAGAACATATTGATTCTGATTCTGAACTTATTGATACAAATGGATAATAAGATATGAGCAACCTTTGTTCTTGAGTATATTTCTTTTAGCAATTTCTCTGCCTTGCTTTTACAAGTCTTTTTAGAATAATAGATCTTACTAACTTTACAGGATTATCTATACAGAGAGTTTACCTATGACATGAAAGAACTGCGTTTTCTTCCATCAGAATTGTCTAAACAAATTTTAAAAAACAAAAACACCTCTCTTGAATGAAAGTTTCATAAGGACAGGAAATGTACTTATTTGCTATAGAATGTCTGGCTTCCAGAGCAGTACCTGGTATATGTGTCACTTTCAGTATAGATATATACAGACATACGAATGATTTTGAGCTTACATGCTGTCCTCAGGCATTGCTACCCATCAGGTGATTGAGTAGGTGTTCCTGGGTCTCAACTGGAGCCTGGAGCCTGGGCCAGCCTGAGAAATGTGGGTATGATGGGGAGGGACATGTTCAAAAAAAGAGAACTAAGATGTATCAAAACTCCTCCAAAGGTTTAGTGGAGATAAGGAAAAGGAAAAATTAAAACAACCAATATAATACCTTTTGCAAATCAAGGAAGAGATATTTTGTAAATCAAGGAAAAAACTAAACAATAATGCAAATGTTGTAGAGGTTGAAATGGGTGAAGACAAAAAAGTAACACTAAATTTCATGATAGGAGGCTTGGAATAGTGTCAATAGAGGGCTGGATACAGAAGCAGATTGCAGTGGGAAAAGGAATGAAAGTGTGGGGAGATAGTGAAAGTAGCAGATACAGGTTGGATTTTCAGGACATTTGGTTTAATGCTAATAGACTATGCAAAAATTAGAGAAATAGCTATTTAGGCAGGATGTGTGTTTGTATTCTTACCTTTGGGTAGATACAATCATATTTAAAGATTCAGAGAAAGGAATCTGACCTCCTCCACCCACTGAAAAAAACCCAACATATATTATTATATAGCAGAAAAGGGTATAAATGACATTTTTAGTTATAAAGATACATAAGAGACAGAGCTTAGGTATGGCTGCAGAATGGCTCTCTCATGCAGGACCATAAAAGAAGAGATGCACCTGGGAAAGTAAATGGAAATGGGTGGTATTCTCCTACCCTAGAACCTAACAGCCAGACACTGAACAGCCTAAACCAGAGATGAAGGTACAGGTAACTTTCTGCTTTAATAAGGCTAAAGAACTTGAGGCCAAGGTGGAAGTCCAGTCTGCCTTACAGGAAAAGTTGTCCTTCAGGCTTAGAAGGAATATTCCAAAATCGAGTTCACTCAAGACCATCAAAACAGACTGAGGAGAAGACCCTTCAAAACTTCCACCACAATAGTAAGTGGGTTATTACAATGGTGTTAATAAATGAATGTTGCATTCTACCTACAATCAAAAATTCCTAAAACTAAAGAAAAATGTATAGTGAAGTGGAGGATAGGCTATCACAAACAAAATTATTTTTTTCATATTACAGATCATTAAAATGTTGATGTTTAACATATAACAAAGTGGTAGATGTTGATATTTTATATCACCTTTTAACTTAGCACAGATACTAACTTCAGTTTAATTACAAGATATTCCTCTATGTTTTCTTTTTCTTTAAGCTGCTAATGGTAAATGGATACAGGAACATCCAGAATGTGCATATAACCTTGTGAATTCTCCACACTTAAAACCTGCATGGATCTTAGACAGAGCACTTTGGCATTTGTCCTGTGATATTGCACAAGGGAAATACAAAGAAAAAGGAGTACCTGCTTCGGTTGAAAATGATCATCAAATGAATGTCAGTATGTATAGAGGAGTACCACACTAAAAGAGAATAACAAAATTTATGAAGTACAAATTCAATGTATTGTTGAAAATTGTTTAGAATCTTTTAATGTACTAAATATTTAGTAAAAAGATTTTAAATATATAAATATTTTTAACTATTGAATTTTTCAGTGCATTCGAAAAATAATTTGGGAAGATATTTTTCCAAAGGTTCGACTCTGGGAATTTTTCCAAGTAAATGTTCACAAAGCAGTAGAACAATTTAGAGCACTTCTTACACAAGGTAAGGATATACAATAAAATGTTACTATCAATTTTAAAGAAATTTAATACCATTCTTAAAGGAATAACCTTTTTTCTTGGTTAACACATTATTAAATTATTATGTGATATTTATATTATTTTTGATGCTATAAAACTATGATTCTGGAAGCTGAGAGCAGGGACATCTAAATGGCATGATATAATAGAATACATAGCAAAGTAAGTTTGTTGGGAGCAGAAAAATGATGGCAAAGTAGGAAGCCAAGGTGGAAGCTGCCTCCCACACACATATACCAAGGAAGCAACTGCAACATATGCAACTAACCCCACAAATGACCTGAAGACAGCAGAACATACCACCTATACATGGTGAGGAAGAGAAGAGTAAAGTTTCAGAGCCACAATCAGTCGAACCCCAGCCCTTCCCTCATCCCAAGCCACAAGTGGGAGGAAGAAGAGCAGAGCAGTGAGAGGATAAACACTCAGGAACTCTGCACACTTGACCTTGGAGACCTGCTCTGGGAACATGAGTCCACATTGCATCAGGCTTTGGTGATTAGCAGGGCTGCATACCAGGGAGAGTTGGAGCACTCTAGGAGGCTGAGACTCCAGTGACTTGTGGAGGACAGGCATGCTCCATCAGCCCCACTGAGACCCAAAGCAGGCAGCAGCTTGAAAGATTTACCAGAAGTGAAAAGGGTGCCAGAGGGGTGAGGGTTGAACAGCAGTCTCTCCCCAGGAGAAAGGGCAAGTGAACAACACTTCCCCAGCCCTCCCTCAGCCCAACAGCCCAACATTAGTGGTTGGTCCAAGTGCTCCATCCCCCTTGCTGGTGTCTCAGCCCACAGTGCTTCCCAGCCCACTTTACCCAGCAACATCAGAAGTTGCTGCTGAGCAGGCAGAGAGAGGCTGTCCTAGCTTTCTTGGTCCTATCTCAGCCCAAGTTGGGAAGCATCTGTAGGAGCCAGCTTCAAGTGCTCCTTCTCATGGGCAGCTTTCTGCCATGTATGTACACACCCACTTATCCCAGTGCCACTGTATGCCCCACAGCTGCTGTGCCCCTGCCCCAGTCCTGTGCAACTGCTCCACCAATCCCATTAGCCCAAGAACTATGAAGATATTCATTTAAAAGGTCAAACATTTGGTTCACCAATATAGGTAATATAATAATAGCAAACCATCAAAGTTAAGTAAAGAAATTGGTGTTTCTATGTGCACCTGGAAACTAAGCATCAAAGTCTATGGTGAAAACTTCCTAATATCCATAACTCAGTATTCTTCACTTGAAAATTGAGCATTCTTGATAATTTTTGAACATCTATAGTATTTTCACATCAAACTTATCAAACCATACAATGGCATTGTATGAGGTAGGATATTGCTTAGGCAGCTATAACAGAGAGACAGAAAAATAAAGACAAAAGACTGAAATTTTAATTCTTAATAAAGGTTAGGTAGGCATTCCATGACTGGTATGTAGCTCTCTGGTGATAGGGAACTAGGTTCCTTGTCTCATGCTGTTTTATTGTCTCTAGCACTTGGCTTATAATTCTTAATCAAATATGGTCACTCTGTTCCCAGTGACACCTTTTACCCAGTAGAAATGAGGAAAGGGAAGTCATTCTTTCCAAGGGCATAATCTGGTGTGTGCATATGTATCACTTCTGCTTACAGTGCATCAGATAGGATTTTGTCTCTTGTCACAGCTAGCTATAGAGATGGTTTGCAGTGTAGTCTTTTCTTTGTTAGCTATGTATACAGCTGAACTTTGGGAGGTCTGTCACTAAAAAAACAAAGGGAGAATAAAATGGGGAGTATAACAGCAGTCTGTCAGAGATTATATTTCTGAAGCATTTGAGATTCTGTGCAGTATTAAAAAAGTGAAATTTGCTTTAGCCTTACTTAGAAAGTGTTACAAATCATAATGTCCTTTCAGTGAAACAGGTTTTCATTAAAAAGTACTATCCAGGGGAAGTCAACTTCCAGATTTGCAGAGTGAGGACTTCACAGATCCTTCACCTAGCAAAACAATTACAACTGGTGAAAATTATTTTTTTAATGATTTAAAGTCTCTGGAAATAGTCCTAAGGGCAGTTAGCATATGGAGAAGCATTTATTCAAGAAAATCTACTAAATCTCAGTAAGAACAGTGATAATCTGACATTTGAACAACAGCCTGATCCTCCCTCTTCACCCTGCCCCATCTTGAAGTGAGGGTAGGTGTATTCCTGGCAGGTGCAGCCAGGAACACAAAGCTTCTTCTCTCCCCTGCTCCCAGTGTAAGGCTATAGTTGAAAGGAGCAGGCTTCTAACATTTCTCACCTAAGTCCCCCACTCACCCCAGTGTTGTGTTGCAGAAATTCTATTCTAGGCAAGAACAACTGAAAGGTATGGGGCTCTCTTCCTCTACCCAGTTCCCATTAGAGAGAAAGCTCTACCCAATACATGACAGGTCAAGAATACTGAGACCAAGTTGCCCTTGCCCCAGCTTGCTTGTGGGATGGAGGTTCCACACTTGGAGAGGTAAGCTAAGAAAACCATCCCTGTCATCAGTTGTGGAGCAGAGATACAACTGTTCTGCCCAGGAGAAGAGATGTACAGGAAAAACAGAGTAAGAATGCAATTGATTTTATTTGGTACATAGTGTGGGAAAGTTCCAGCCTGTGGACACTGTTGAAATTAAGAGGCTGGTATCTGCATGAGAACAACATGCTAAACCATAGGCTAGAGAGAACCAAGGAAAAATACACCTAGGATGAGTCCTCCTGGCGTTAGATAAGTCTCAAAGACTAGCCCCGCCAAGGGGCCCAAATTTAATTGGATCAGATTGTGAAACAGTTGTGTTCCAGCATACTATCAAGAAAAATAGCTCACTGAGCCTGTATTAATGGAAAATAACAGCTCAGTGTGATACCAACAGAGGCAGGCATCTTAACAACAGAGTTCAGGGAAAGAGGTAAGAGAATTGTGCTAAAAACCACTGTCATGCCAGGCTGACATCCCATAGTCAAGGCTGCACTCTCTGAATAGGAACTTCAGAGGCTGCACATTGTGGGAGAAACAGACTCCACTGAAATAGTTCAGACAAACAAATAACCAGTAAAACCTGGAGGGGATGAGATCAGTATCCAAGTTACTACAATACATTATCTAAATGGCCCAATTTTCAACAAAAAAAATCACAAAGAAACAGCAAAGTGTGACATACGCAAGGAAAAAAGCAGGCAACAGAAATCACCTTTGAGAAGTCTTAGATGTCATTCTTAGCCAAAATAACTATTAAAAATGTATTCAAATAACTAAAAGAAACTAGCTTAAAACTGTAAAAGGTGTGATATCTCATCAAATTGAGAATACCAGAAAATAGAATTTTTTTGAAAGAATCAAATAGGAATTCTAGAATTAAAAAGTAAATAACCAAAATAAATTCACTGTGTATTTGAGATGACAGAAGAAAGGATCACTGAATAGAGATTATACAGTAAATGATACAATGAATAGAGAGAAAAAAGATAAAATGAACAGCGCTTCAGTGAAATTTGGGACAACTTTAAGCACAGCAGTGTAGCATCATGGAAATAACAGAAGAAGAAGAAAAAAGAACTGAAGAATTACTAGAAAAAATAATAGCTGAATACTTCCCAACCTTCAGAATTTGATTTTTTTAAAAATCTATACATCCTAAAGCTCAGTGAACTCTGAGTAGCATAAACACAAAGAGAGCCACTCAGGCACAACATAGTAAATATTTTGAAAGCCAAACAACTTAGGGAGCCTTGAAAGTAATACTGTATATCTTGAAAGGCAGAGATTGGCAGTCAAAAAATAAGATCCAACTATATGCTATCTATAGGCAAGACACTTTAGATTCAAAGATATAAATAGGTGGAAAGTAAAAGCATGGAAAAAGATAAAGCAAGGACTGGTAGCTTAGAGGTTCTCTTTTCAGTTGCTCCTGAAATGGCACAGCCCTGGGCATATACATGGTCTTTCAGACAGGCAGAAGTGAGTGTGATTTTATTGTTAAGCCTGGCTTTTTATTATTATGGGTATAAGTAATAAATGATACAATGAATGAAACTAAAGTAATAGTTCTTTTAAATCTGGGTAAGAACTGTAATGATACTCAGCTTAGTAAATGAAGCAAGAAGACATTTCAGTAGCAGAACAAAATGTTAGATCACAGATTCTGAAAAAACTTTCCCAAGATCATTCCTGCTTTATGGCTTTGGCTGAATTACTTATCTTTCTGTATCTCAGTTCCTCATCTGTTAAAGGAACATGAAATTATGTCCTATGTCATGGTGGGGCATGAGGATTAATAAATTAGTGCATTAACTTCTTAGAACAGTTCCTGGCATATGGTAGGTATTCTGTAATTGTTATTTTTATTTCATATACATTAACCATTTATGCTCCTTAGTATGAATTCAGGGGGCATTAATATATTTTAAAATGAAACAAAATATGTATACCTTTTATTTATTAAAAAATGAAAGCATTAATTTAATGTTGTAAATACTTAGAACATATTGATTCTGATTCTGAACTTATTGATACAAATGGATAATAAGATATGAGCAACCTTTGTTCTTGAGTATATTTCTTTTAGCAATTTCTCTGCCTTGCTTTTACAAGTCTTTTTAGAATAATAGATCTTACTAACTTTACAGGATTATCTATACAGAGAGTTTACCTATGACATGAAAGAACTGCGTTTTCTTCCATCAGAATTGTCTAAACAAATTTTAAAAAACAAAAACACCTCTCTTGAATGAAAGTTTCATAAGGACAGGAAATGTACTTATTTGCTATAGAATGTCTGGCTTCCAGAGCAGTACCTGGTATATGTGTCACTTTCAGTATAGATATATACAGACATACGAATGATTTTGAGCTTACATGCTGTCCTCAGGCATTGCTACCCATCAGGTGATTGAGTAGGTGTTCCTGGGTCTCAACTGGAGCCTGGAGCCTGGGCCAGCCTGAGAAATGTGGGTATGATGGGGAGGGACATGT